GCAGCACCCACCGCCGCGCACGGCCTCGCACCGGGGGTCCCATCCGAAAGCCTGGACACAAAGCACCCAGCACCGAGCAGAACTGGGATGGTGAGAGGAGCTCAGAGCTGCAGGCTGGGAACCTCAGCCCAACAACAGACAGCAAAAGCCACCAGGTATTTTTAAAACCTCATCTCAAGCAAGGTTTGTGAGCACTTGAAAAGCCACACCTTCGATATTTTTCTCAGCCTCTTGATTGCCCGTACACACCAAAAACGTAAATCAAAGTACATCTTTATATTAACCATGAAGTCCAAGTACGAAAACAAGCAGTTACTTAAACAGCCCACGGTATTTCAGCTACCGAAATTAATTCTCCTAATTAGGAGATGAGAATAAGCTGTCTCCTAACACCACTTGCCTTCGGATACAAGTAAAATAGAGGTAACCTGTACACCCTGGTGCTAAATTGCAGGCTCACCTGACGAGTAAAGGCAGAACAATCCAACTGAAGCACAACAAAACAGCACCTGTGGTAGCAGAGACACAACAGAATCATTTACACAGTGTCAGTGGGATCAGTCTTTGGGTGTCATCGATCCATCGCCATCGTGTTGCCCACCAGGAAAAGCACAGTTGCATTTAGAAGTGCTACAGCAGAGAAGAACGGAGCAAAGAGCATGGAGCAAAGTGCACGTTGGAAATACAGGGTATGAGCGGCTTAAGGAATCCAGGTCCTTGGAATCTACTGAGTAAACAATGAGCTCTTCAGGGGTTTGAGTTTGGCTTTGCACCATTTTATTTCTGCACAGTTAAGAGAAGGACATCAAAGACCTGAAGCAACTGTAACATGACAGGGATGATGGAAGGCCACGGAGATGCTGGGAGGGCTGGAGCCCCTCTGCTGGGAGGACAGGCTGAGAGAGTTGGGGGGGTTCAGCCTGGAGAAGAGAAGGCTCCAGGGAGACCTTAGAGCCCCTTCCCTTACAGGAGAGATGGGGGGACTCCTGATCAGGGAGGGGAGCCATAGGAGGAGGGGGAAGGGTTTTACACTGAAAGAGGGGAGATTCAGATGAGATACTAGAAGAAGTTTTTCACTTTGGGGGTGGTGAGAGCCTGGCCCAGGTTGCCCAGAAAAGCTGTGGCTGCCCCATCCCTGGAGGGGTTCAAGGCCAGATTAGAGGGGTCTTTGAGCAACCTGGTCTGGTGGGAGGTGTCCCTGCCCAAGGCAGGGGGTGGAACTGGAGATGTTTAAGTTCCCTTCCAACTCTAAGTATTCCATGGAACCAGCTGTCACTGTGCGACATCATGTGTGACCTCCAAACATTTCAAGGAGTCAGCTGCAGGAAAACCATGATTCCCCCAACCACTAGCCTTGCTGTCCTGTCCAGCAGGATGAGGTGTTTGGCTCTCAGGCTGACCATCACAGCAATAAAGCATCTGGCAAGTCAAAGAGCAGTTTGGGCTAATGAAGGTAACACCCTGAACAGAGCACAGGCCCTTGTGCTGGTGCTGAACTGACTCTATAGCAGCAGGAAAATGTAAGAGACAGTCAGTATTTTGTACCTGTAAAACAAGCACAGCTGATACAGGACATGCTGAAGGAACCCCCATGGACTCACACTGGCTTTTTCACATTCACCTTTCCCATTAGAACAGCAGCTTGAGGCTCCCTCGGAAGCTAAACACAGATTTAAATGCACTTGCTGAAAAACCAGGAGCTCTGGAAAGGCAAACTTCACCAGGTACAAAATCCTCCTGGTAGCCAGGCCCGGCAAAAAACCTTCCAGCCCAGCGGGGGCTGTTTCAAGAATCTACCGGCAACAGCAGAACTGACTGAGAACACGTTGGGCTGTATCTACTAATCACCACAGGAAATATTAATAAGAAAAGTTCGCTTCTATTTTCAGTTTGTTTCATGGCATATACCTGAGCAGATGAAATTACTGAAGCATTAATGCAGCAAAACGGTACCACTGCAAACAGAACACAGAGCCAAACACTTCAACTGTCGGCCTCTCTCTCCAGCTCTCGTTGTGACTCGGAGACACTAAGTAGTTTGTGCTGTATTTGTATTTTATGCAAGACTGAGCACTGAAAGGGAATCAGCATTTTCTCACAACACAAGATTGGTTATGACTTTACAGAGCAGCTATTACAGAGCGTCTTTTATAAAGGTATTTGCAACCAGGCAACTACAAGGGCTCCCACCTACACAAACCAATAGGTGAGGCTATATTTAGCTGAAATTCAACCCCAGCCCTAAAATAAAAACCACTGTTTAAGCAATATTCAGTTTACCTACAGGAAGGTAAATTTGTCTGAAGGTGAATCAAAATAAAGAGCTGGGATCACAATAGTCTGACGAGATGCTGTTCAAAGGCAAACTCCTGTTATACAGCTACAGTTTAAAAAAAGACAGCTTTCTCCTAAATCACTAGTACTGATTTTTCCTTCTCTTGGGCTAATTATGCCCTCAGGGATAATCTAGAAAAGACACTGAAACTACACCCAGAGCAAGCAGTTGCTGCTAAATTAATTAGATTATCTTTTTGACTACATTGCACTTTTTATTTTGGGCGGAACGGTGCTGAAGGAGGGAATGGTTTTATTTATATAGGCACATAAGCCTGTCATGGTGTGTTATTTGCAGGGGAAAAAAAAAAAAGGTGTTATATGTCATGTGCAGAGACAGACAGCTTCTCTTCTTCACTGTCGAGTGACCAATAAAGAATTAGGTGAGGGAAGGAGGGGAAGGCTGTGCCAGAGGCAGTCGGAGCTGTCAGGGTGGAGACACAACAGTTTGAAGTCTGTTAAACTGCAGATTTAAGTAAGTGGATCCTACAAGTCGATCCAAGGCTGGCCTGGCCGGGAACGACGAAGGAGGGGAGCAATACTTACCTACTTATCTGGGTAATGAATTCCTCTCCCTGGAACATCACAAGGAAATGCGAGTTCTCTGGGGAGCCTCCCTTTGTGTCAAAAAAATTACAGTAGGAAGGTGACCTTCCCTCCAGCGCTGCTTTCATTTTTCAGATGACCACTTTTTATGAAACATTGGAGAGGCACCATCTCATTTGCTCCCCCAGCGCAAACCAGCAGAGACTGGGTCAGAAAGTGAGCCAGTATGACTTACTCCTGCGACCACTGCGGGCCAGTGAGAGCCAGCACAGAGCCCTGTGACACAACAAAGCCAGGGCAGAGCTGAAACCCACCCACTGCCCCCCTCTCAGAAGCCAGGACCACAGGCAGTCTTCCTGTGCCCTGAAGCAAATCCAAATTGTCTCCTGGGGTGCACCAAAAATAATGTGGCCAGCAGGTAAAGGGAAGTCATCCTCCCCTTCTGCTCTGCCTTGGGGAGGCCACATCTGGAGTCTTGGGTCCAGTGCTGGGCCCCATAGTTCAAGAAGGACAAGGGTCTACTGCAGAGAGTCCATCAGGGGCTACAAAGATGATCAAGGGGCTGGAGCATCTCTGTGCTGAGGAAAGGCTGAGGGACCTGGGGCTGTTCAGCTGGAGAAGAGCAGACTGAGAGGGGATCTCATCGATGCTGAGCAATAGCTAAAGGGCGGGTGGCAAGAGGATGAGGCCAGACTCTTCTCAGTGGTATCTGGGGACAGGACAAGGGGCAATGGGCACAAACTGGGACACGGGAAATTCCATCTCAACGTGAGGAAGAACTTCTTTGCTGTGAGGGTGGCAGAGCCCTGGAAGAGGCTGCCCAGAGAGGGTGTGGAGTCTCCATCTCTGGAGATATTCAAACCCAACTGGACACGTTCCTTTCCAACCTGCTCTGCTCTGACAGGGGGTTGGACTGGATGGTCTCCAGAGGTTCTTTCCAACCTCCACCATTCTGTGATTTTGAGATGTCTGGGGAACTTGGTGCACCCCTCCATGGAGTCAGCGGTCTCTCTAACAACCCAAAACAGAGACTTGCAGCAGACAAGCTCACTCACCTCCCCGCTGCCCACTTCTGAACAACCACATCTCCAGTAGCCCACTCCCCCAGCCCTGCTAGCCAAATCCACCTGCCCTCCAAACACCCTTGCAGGCCAACAGTTCGACTCCGGGAACAAACACAGGCAGTAGTAACTAAATAAATAAAAATGAAATGCTGTAGCAGGGCTCTGTTCTGCAGCAGTCTGCAGCCTTCAGAATGGAAGCTGAAGAGATGTATTGAACCAGGCTCCTGCGGTCCCTCCCCTGGTCCCAGCAGCACCACTTTGGTCACTGCCGCTCTTTCCTACACCTTTGCTTTATTCCTTCAGGTTACGTGTTTAAAGCCGTGCACTGCAACAACCAGAACTGTGCGCTCAGAAGCATCAGGAGAAATACTATCAATTTAGCAAACTAGAAAACTGAACACACTCTTATCCCAAAAGAGAAAAAAAAATTAGACTAAACTCCCTTTAGTTTCGAGTTGAGCAGCACAGGGAAGCTCCCATCACCCTTCTCCTGGCTCTGCCACTCACAACTGAGGCCACTGAACTGCAGAGTATCAGTCCAGCTCTTCCCCTGCCCACCCTTTGTTTTAAAAAACAGGCATTAAGTTCATTAAAACTCTTCTCTACAGCTTACAGGAGAGCTACTGTTGTTAAAGTTAGTTTGAACTACTTCCTTTTCTGGAAATAAACTTTCAGTAACAAGATCAGAGCATGAAACTGAAATAAAAGTCGGGGACTAAGATGCAAAGCTGATCTTTAAATATTCTTTGAGAAACCTGCACTTTGGGAGTTAGAGGCCTGGGGGGACACACCATCATCTTCTCTCCTGAGGAGTTGTAGCAGACACGTTGAACCCTAATAAGTCTGATACACTCCACACACGTTGTTACCCAGCTTTAGATTCTGCCCCTGCCACAATCAAGTACAAACAGCCCCTCTCTGGTTAGAGCCTACCACGGCTGGGGGTCCAGAGCAGTATCTTTAGCATAAAGAACACCATCTTTTATTGGCTCTGTTGAAAGTCCACCACTAAGACACCAAATCCTGCTCCACCATCTGGGCTTTGCAGAACCTCACCTTGTTTTGTGAGCGCTTCCCGCAGCGCCGGGGTGATCATCTCTCTCTTCTCACCCTCCTCCTTCCTCCCAGTGCTCAAGCTGGTCCCAACATCTCCTTCCTCCAGCTCACGTTCTCTCTGTTTAAAGACAGTGAATTACAGCTGTTTAGACTGAAGCATCGTGCTTTAAACCCTGTGGCACAGTTCAGCCACGGAGCTGCCAAACTTAAAACTGACACAAGTGCCCACACAAGAATTCTTGCATTCATGTAATCCTGCATTTTGTCCCTCCTCCCACCAGACTCTGACCCTTCAGTAAATTTAAAAAGAAGAAAACCCACAACACACTAGATTTGTTCCACTAACACCGCAGTAAAATTCTCAAGGACATTTTAAGAAACAAGGTGTTTGAGTCTCATTTGAGAGTGAGAGGGGCTCCAGGATTTAAGCCCAAACATTTCACAAGTGCACAATAACCTCAGCTCTCCACTGAGCACCAGCTGAAGGGAACAAATCATTTTGTGCCTGACACACAGCTGCCTGGGGTGACACACAGCTGGTGTCTGAATTATTTGGGACAGGTCAGGGAAGAAAACCACATTGCTCCGAGTCGTACAGCCCTGGAGTTTCCAGAGTAGAATCACAGAATGCTCTCAGTTGGAAGGGACCTTTCAGACCATAGAGTCCAACCATCAACTCAACACTGACAAACTCACCACTAACCCATGTCCCTCAGCACCACGTCTGCCCGGCTTTTACGTATCTCCAGGGATGGCGACTTCAACACTGCCCTGGGAAACCTCTTCCAATGTTTGATATCCTGTTCAGTGAAGAAGTTTTTCCTAATATCCATCCTAACCCTCCCCTGGCACAACTTGAGGCTGTTTCCTCTTGTCCCATCTCCTGTTCCTTTAGAGAAGAGAGCGACCTCCCCTGGCTACACCCTCCTTTCAGGGAGTTGTAGAGAGCAAGGTGGTCTCCCCTCAGCCTCCTTTTCTCCAGGCTGAACACCCCCAGCTCCCTCAGCCGCTCCTCACAAGACTTGTGCTCCAGACCCCTCATCAGCTCTGTTGCCCTTCTCCGGACACACTCCAGAACCTCAATGTCTTTCCTGTCGTGAGGAGAGAAGCTGTGGTCTCCACAAGTCACCTTAAAAGGCAGCCAACTACCACCAAAATTTGGTAATCACCAAATGTCCTGCAAGAAAGGCTGTTTCCCCTCTGCCCGGCTTAGACAAATGAGCTGCAGGTCCCACCAACGTTCAGCTTCCATCAAATGCTGCTTTACAGGACACGGTTCAGCCCTTGGAGCCTACTTAATACTTAAATCCAAATGCAGGAATATAAAAATCATAGAATGTTTTGCATTGGAAGGGACCTTAAAGCCCCCGCAGAGCCACCCCCTGCCCTGGGCAGGGACACCTCCCACCAGACCAGGTTGCTCCAAGCCCCCTCCAACCTGCCCTTGAACCCCTCCAGGGATGGGGCAGCCACAGCTTCTCTGGGCAACCTGGGCCAGGCTCTCACCACCCTCAGCAAAGAATTGCTTACTAATATCCAATCTCAATCTCCCCTCTTTCAGTGTCAAACCCTTTCCCCTTGTCCTATGGCTCCCCTCCCTGATCAAGAGTCCCTCCCCATCTCTCCTGTAGGTCCCCTTTAGGTACTGGAAGGGGTATTACTGGAATATCACGTATTAGCATAAAGTTACAAGCAACATAAGCATGTAAGTAATTGTGAATCCCCCGCTGTATAAGTGCCACTGCTGAGACTTTATGGGTATTTATCATTTCATGCCTGCATAAAGAAGCATGAAAGTGTAAATAATTACTTTGATATTTCATGCAACTTGTAATCTGTCGGTTCTTTACGGCTTTTTTGAAATATTAGAGGAGTTATGGATAAACAACAAACAAAAACCAAAGGACATTTTGTTTTCTGAAAGTTGAGGCTGTTTCACGTCAGAGGCTCTTTGTGCCAAAGACATCAAGGAGTTCACACAAACATTTCCAGTTTGAGTTGACCCCCCAACTGTTACCATCCCTAAGGAAACCAGTGCTCTCGACTTGCCAAGCTGTGTTCTTCACAAGCAGGGAGAGTATTCACACAGACAGATTTCTTCTGTACCTGAGCAAAGTTGCAGAAAATAAAGGTGCCTCAGAAAGGGAAAAAAAAAAAAAACCAAGCCACTTCAAAAAAACCCCCTACACAGACTCAGAGATTGAAGGACAGAGCTCCTAGTAAGCACTTAAGAAGGGAAGAGAATAGTAAAACATTTAGGGACAGAGGTGGTTTTTTTTTCCTGTTCATTTTGATAAAACTTTCAGTTTTGGTGAGTTTGTTGAGGAAGGTACTTTCTAATCACCAGTAACACAACACGATCCTTACTGAAGGAGAAAGGTGTTGCCATCTCCTGCTGCCTTTCACTCAGTTTGCTGAGTTTTCAGGCAGAATTTCACTGGTTTCTGTAAAGCATCAAAACTTCCCCAAAAGGCTATCTCTACTAAATACTCAGCATTTGTTGAGTTTAAAGCTCATTTTTTGAGATTCGATCTTCATTTATCAGCAAGATGCTTCAACAGTAAAATGTTAATATTACTGGAAAAGCCTCATGCATAAGGAAGGAAGGAGCTAAAACCCTTATCTTTTAACTTAAGTCTTAAACAAAGAGCTTCTCCTGCCCCAAGCTACCGTTGAGCCCAGAACCAGCCCCAGTTGCCCACATGCAAAGGAACAGCACTGTCTTACATAGATTTGTCACTGACTCACAGCAAAACCCTGCGCAGGATTTACAAGTGGACACATCCCGGCCCATCAGGCAAATTAATTCTCCCAGAAGAACTAAATACACGTTATCATAATATTAAAATCATAATATTAAAAATGCAGCAATTTACTTCAGCACAAATGAGACATCCCATCCATGACAGCCTTCAGATACAGAAAAAGTCCTTCTGAATTTAAAGGGCTTCCATTTCTACCTGCTGACTGTGCCTGCTACTGCAAGAGCCGAGCAAAGTGCCTAACCATCAGAAGAACAAATAAGATTGCCTTACTGGCAGGGCAGAAACATTTATTTCAATAATCATCTTTCCCTTCACAGAGATGACAGTATTTTCCCCCTTCTCTCCTCCTGATGTGAAAGTGTATAAACAAAATAATCATTTGTTTTTCTCTGAACTGCAATACCTGACTTGTTCAGTTCGGCAAGTGATTGGCTTCAGATATTTCTTGTGGGAAATAGAATTCACAGCCTGGAGAGTTTTAGTTATTTGCTTAATAAACCTTTCATATCTATTATTTAGAGTTTGAGCACAGAGAACAAAGTTAACTTTGCACAGAGCAAACTTCTCAAGTTCTGGTGATTTAGCAGAAAGCCCTGTAGTAAATCTAAGGCAAATTACTGGCTTTCCATAACAAATCAAGCAAGTAGTGACACGAGCCAGCTTTTCATGCCCTTGAAATACTTCACTGCTGAAAAAACTGAGAAGTCATGCTCTGGTCTGTGTTCACAAAGAAGAGAACCCCACAGATGAGAAAACCTAGGGGTACACCCCGATTTCTTGGCACCACAACAGCTCTTGCTGGAGGGGTTTGTGTCACTGCCATTGAAAGAAGCCTTAATAAAAGTAATTGAACCACAGCTGTAAGGACTCAGGATCACCTCCTCTGCAGGTGAAGGAAAACAATCTCTTCAACTCTTCCCTTTTATTGCCATAAAGCACAACAGCCAGGACGCACTTTACGAGCAGGTAAAAGCCCATCTTTGACGCGTCAAGACCTGTGGCACAGAATGGTAGGATCATAGAATGGTTTGGGTTGGAAGGGAGCTTAAAGGTCATCCAATGCCACCCATTTGCTCCTGGCAGGGACACCTCCCACCAGACCAGGTTGCTCCAAGCCCCCTCCAACCTGGCCTTCAACCCCTCCAGGGATGGGGCAGCCACAGCTTCTCTGGGCAACCTGGGCCAGGCTCTCACCACCCTCACACCAAAGAAGTTCTTCTCCACATCTCATCTCAATCTCCCCTCTTTGAGTTTTAAACCATTACCCCTCATCCTATCACTACACTCCCTCATAAAGAGTTGCTCCCCATCTCTCCTATAGGCAAGGAATTCCCTGTGCCAAGGCAGAGGTGTCCCTTCCCCTTTGACAAACCATAGTTCAAGCATTTTAAAGGATTTCCTACAAATATTCCTACCAAACTCCTCCACCCACAGCCACATCCAAATGTGACCAACAGGACGTGCTACTTGCCACTTCTCCTCTTTGAAGTGCTCTCTCCAGGGTATCAAGGTACCCGATATCTCCCTGTGTTGTTCATTTTATTACAGCACTCTTCAAACTACTGTTACAGGGGTGAGAAAGAAAGAGAGATCTAAACTCCATGTAAAGAAATATTCCCTAAATTAACTTAATTTAGCATTTTTAGCCTCATGACTATTTATTCATGTGCCATGACTGGGGAAACAAAAACCAAAAAACCACAAAACACCAACACCAAAAAAACCCCAGAAAATCAAATTATGTTCCCCAAGAAGTTTTTACTTCCAGAAGGAAAACAAAACACAAAATCCCAATTTTGACTAAACTTCTTTCCTACTTAACCTCCCAGCATTCAAACAAGAGGGAACCCTTGGCCTTGTCACGATTTACAGCCTCATCCGTCAAAAGGCTCCAAGATCTTTCACGGAATGAAAGGCACAAGCATTAAGCAAACAGCAATCCACGAGGGGCTGGAGCCAGGACTAACAAAACAGAACCAGCACGAAGGGAGAGCACTGGCACGGCCGTCAGGAAAAGCCTGCCTGGCAGCAAGAAATATTAGTAAAACTTTCCCGGGGGAGTCGTTAAACGAAGTCTGAAAGTTCATGAATGACATGAAGGAAGAGTGAAAGTTCACACCCAGCAGAGCTCTGGAGAGAGACTCCAGCAGCAAGAGGACAGCGAGAAGAGCTGACACCTTCTCTCCCAGCTCAGGCTCAGCTGTCAGTGACACCATCAGCGAGAGCCACGGGGGGGCTTTTTGGAAGTTGATTAGACACCTGGCCGCCCGGCACTCGTCTCCTCACACAACATCCTGCAAGAGTAAAACACATGGAAAAAGAACGGGATAGGGAACAGGCTTCCACAAAGACA